TCTCTCTCTCTCTCTCTCTCTCTCTCTCTATCATTCTTTTCCTCCCGTCGTCCTTTCCCACCATTATTGCCATTATATTTGGCGCCGTACTGCAACATTGTGCCGACGAGTGCCGATCTTTCTCCCTTTCCCTTCCTTTTCCACCGTCCTCCGACCATAGTCTGCTGTTGTTTTTTCTTTTTCCTGCCGTTGTCCGCAGTTGCCGGCAATTCGCTGACGTGCGTGCCCGAATCGATCAGAGCAAAGAGGTTGCTGGCCTAATGGCTCACTACTAGGGCTCAACACATGCACCACACACACACACAGACAGCATTGACATTGTGCAACTTTCAATGTGCANTCGTTTTTTCCACCATTTTCCAACCATAGTCTGCTGTTGTCGTCTTTTCTTTTTTCTGCCGTTGTCCGCAGTTGCCGGCAATTCGCTGACGTGCGTGCCCGAATCGATCAGAGCAAAGAGGTTGCTGGCCTAATGGCTCACTACTAGGGCTCAACACATGCACCACACACACACACAGACAGCATTGACATTGTGCAACTTTCAATGTGCACATTGTGGTGCTCCGTGCCACCGATATTGCCCGGCACCACAAAAATATATAGCTCAGAAAGCAGAATCAAAGAGAAACAACAACCGCCGAGCAGAGAACCGTTTTTGATCGGTGCCCATTGCGCTCTAAACACACATAAAGCCCATGGCACCCACTGTGGTCTTCTTCTCTTTGCCTTTCTTCCTCTGCCTCCTCTTCTTTTGTTGCTCCTCTTGTTCGCTCTTTCTATTCCCATTTTCCTTTCATTGGCCAATGTCGATTGTAAATTTTTAGCTGAAACTCTGTGGTCGCCTTTGAGACTAACCAAACCAAACCAGGAGAACGGTCGATGAATTGACAGCACCAAGCAGCCATACTCACAATTTTCAATGAGCAGATGCATTGTATAGTCAATACTGCTTGACTGCTGCTGCTGTTTTTTCTAGTAAAAATATTTTTTTTGATTGCGTTGCCTTACTTGACTTGATGACAGCGCTCGCCCATCAGCTATCAATATTTAAAATTTGCAAGTTATGACAACTTTTTTATAACTTTTAAATAAATTAACAAAATTTGCAGACACATTTATAGTGTGAATATTTGCGTAAGGCAGTAGTAGGCGATGAAATGATGGCTGTCTGACTTTTATAATCCCGTAATGTGCTTTCAGTTTTGTCAATAGTGCAAACTAAATGTGTTTGTAGAAGTGCATGAATGTGTGGGCGAAAACCACACATTACTCAAGTACAGACAGAAACACTTTGCAGTTGGCGTGTTTCACAGTGAGCAAACATAAATGATTCACACGGGCATAAATTCAATTCAAAGTAACTCACTTGAAATTTTTACTTGAAAAACTTCAATAAAAATTGTTGAAAAGTTTTAAAAAATTTACAAAATTGTTTTAAACTAAAAATTTTAATTTTAATTTTGTTTGATACAAAACTAAAAATTGATGTGAATATATTAGAGCACAAATGAATCAAATTAATTAAACAAAGATTAAATTGTTTTTAATACAACAAGTATTTTTAATAACTGTGGTAATAAAATTGCTAAAGTATAAGAAAACTGCTGGTTTATATCATAAAATAGCTCTTAACAGTTATTTTCTAGAGACTGAAGAAGAAAAGCACAAGTAATGTAGTGAATGCCATCATCTTTGAGTGGCAAACTGGTTGACTGATGTCGTTTAGTGTTAGCTGCATCAGATGCTACTAACTACTTTTTCTGCACTACTGCACTGCTGTTACTACGAAATTTATAGCAAAANAAAATAGCTCTTAACAGTTATTTTCTAGAGACTGAAGAAGAAAAGCACAAGTAATGTAGTGAATGCCATCATCTTTGAGTGGCAAACTGGTTGACTGATGTCGTTTAGTGTTAGCTGCATCAGATGCTACTAACTACTTTTTCTGCACTACTGCACTGCTGTTACTACGAAATTTATAGCAAAACATCATTCAATCGTAAAGTGTGCACATTACCAAAACAAATGACTTTATTTCACATTAATTGCTTTATATTGAACATTGTTCAAAACTAATTACATAAACTTGTAGTTGTTTTGGCGTTATTTAATCAAAAGCAATTACTGAATTTGCATTTCGTTGTACGATGTAACGAACAGAAATGGCGTTTTTGTTTTATAATTTACTTTACTATAACTCACAAAATAGAATTAAAAGTTAAATTTATTAGCTGTATTACTTTTTATAAATTGTTTAGCGTGCAAAATATTGTTTTAATATAAAATTTTTTTTACAATATTTAATAAACACTACAATTTTGTTGTAATTTTATGAAGCAGTGAAATACTAATAGCCAACTAGTGTTTAGTATAATTAAGTCATTTTAACCATTAAGTTTAATTTTAATTTTAATTGCTTTTGTCTGCATTTTTAGCTAACTTTAATTTAGAATTGCAAAGGAGACTAAATTAGCAACAGTTCCAAAACTTTCATTTGAATTGTTGAAAACAGTTGTTTAAATTGTCATACTGACCATACTTTAAAAAGTGAAAGAAAACAAAAACAATTTTTCAAAATATTTAGCTTAGACAATCAACAAACAAATTTTTTATTGCGACAAAGGGAATGGAAGTGTAGATAAAACACAATTGAGAAAATGAAGGTGGTTGTGAATTAGAGGTGATGGTGAGTGGCGTCGGTAGTTATTTCTGCATGTGTTCACTACCGCAGTCAAATGCTGACAAATTTAAGTAAACGCATACACTACATTCATGTCAGTTGCCGTGGCTATATTTTGAAGACAAACCGCACAGGGCAAATCATGCTCACGCTTAGGTGTTAATCAGACAGCAGCAAAGTAGTGTAACTGATTTGTGGGGTACTGTTTTAAAAGAATTAGTTATGTACGAGAATGGAAAGGAAGAGTGTTCAGAAGTACAGAAAAGTAGCAGTAGTTGTAGTGTGATCAGACAAATGTGTGTGTATGATTTGTGGTAGTGTGTAGGCGCTGAAGTGGCAATACATGGAGTGCCGGAATAAATGTAATGTGTAGTTTTTTTGCAATGGTAAACTGGTTATCTCTGTGTATGTGGTGTTTAGTGTTTGTGTGTGTTTGCCTGGGAGAAATGGCTGGTTTTGCACTGTTCTAGGTAGTGTTACGACTAGTACAGTATTGTATCACGGACGCTTTCCAACGGATGGATGTGTACTACAAACATTTTATTATTAAGTATATTTAAAGAAAAGAAAAAGAGAGAAAGAGAGAATTGAATGAAAAAGATGTGATTGGGAAGTGTGAAATAAGGAAGGGGGTGGTGGGGCAGTTCATGCGACCAGATAGAAACAAAAACATTTGTTATGTTAGACTGAATCAATGAAATTGAAAAAGTAAAATATGTTACGATTATAAAAAAAAACAAAAAATGAAAAAGAAGGAAAGAAGGAAAGCAATGGTCAGGTGGACACACACAACTGAAAGAAAAAAAGGAATGTCAATGGAGAGAAGATGCTCTACTGCAGCAGATATGATGATAATGAAAATTGCTTTTCGGAGAATGAGAGAGAGATCAGCAGGTGATGATGACCATGGTAGGTGTAGTAGTTGTAGTTAGCAGTAGTGGTAGTAGTTGTCACACAAACATGAAGATATTAACGCAAATGTGGGAAAGGGAAAAAGAATGAAGATATATGCAGTATGCAATGAAAGAGTTACATTTCGACGCAGGAGTTAGTTAGTTCGGGGGTGTTACTTTTCGAGTTAACGTAATGTGAAATGCAGTGAGCTGAAGAGCTGGTCCAACGCTGACCGATGCGCATCGAAAACGTTGCGCATCGGTCAGCGCTGGTGATTTGCTTGGCAAAGAGATTGGTTGCAGTAAGAAGGAGAAGGGGGAGATGCAGTGATCAGAGATTAGAAGAAATTGGAAAAGAAACTAGCCGCTCCGGATGCCGCCTGAGAGGCCGCCTGGCTGGCCGCTTGCGCTGCAGACTGTAGTGTCAAGTAAAAGTGAGAAAAGAGGTACAGTGCATTAGAATTAAAGAAACACAAATCATTATGGTGATCAATCAAGGACACACTTACGCTAACGGTGGCCTGCGCCTGAGTGGCCGCCTGTTTGGCCTGCTGCGCTCCGGGTGCTTGCTGCGGATGTGGCTGCTGCTGCTGTTGTTGTTGGGACGGCGGTCCCGGCGGATGTGCCCCCTGCTGCTGCTGCTGTGTAGGCGGTTGTGAAGGCCCCTGCTTCGGTGCTGCCTGTCGCAGCGGCGGCGGCGGCTGGGGCGACCCGTGGCCTGCCGGCGCATTCGGCGGATGGGGCCCGGTGGGCGGTGGCGGCGGTCCGCCCCTGCCACCTTGCTGATCTCCGCCTGGTCCTGGGTGGCGTTGTGCTCCCTGACCAGGGGGTCCTAGTGGCCCGTGTGAGGGCGGTCCATGTGGGGGCGGACCGTGTGGAGGTGGTCCATGTGGCGGCGCTGGCCCATGTGGTGGTGGCCCGTGGTGTGATGGAGGTCCTTGTGGTGGGCCATGGCCATGTCCTCCTCCTCCTCCACTAGGGCCTGCTTTCATGTGACTGTAAAGAAATTAAAGTTAGCAATAAAGTCTCCTAAAGATTTAGTGCCCTTACCTTTGCAAGTCCTGAATCTGTTTAGTCAAGGCAAATTTCTCGTCCTCTAGCGTGGACATAATCTTCAGCAGTCGCTCCAGTTCGGCCTGAATGGCCTTGCACTCCTCCTTGCTCTTCACCAGATCAAGTGCCAGGGCGGACTTCTCCTTCTCCAGCGCTTCGACGCGCTTTCGAAGCTTCTCCACTTCGGCCGTTGCTGCGGTGTTGTTGGCGGCCGATGCCGAGTTGGCCTGCTTCAGGGCGTTCTGCAGCTGAACCTCCATCTGATCTACCTCGAGCTGTCGCTTCTTCATCGCCGCTTCACGCTCCTTCAGAAGATTGCTCTGCTCGTCTAGCTGCTTTTTCAGCTTCTCAAAGTCGGCCGTGTTCTGCGTGGTGGACTGCTGTTGTTGCGCCTGCTGCTGTTGCAGTTTGGCTTTAGTTGCCGCCGCCTCTTGCTTAAGGGCCTGTAGTTCTTTCTGTAAAGTGTCAGCCCAAAAAAAAGTATTTTAGCATACCCGAAAAAAAACTACTACCTCCTGCAAAGCTACTTACCTCCCGGGTGCTCAACTCGCCGACCAGCTTTTCCAGCTGACTCTGGAAGCGCTCCCGCTCCACATCGAAGCCCTTGTTTTCACTCTGCAACCTCTCCAACTGCTTCCTCAGCTGGTCCGCCTCCTGCGTCCACTTTTTATTCTCCGATCGCTGTCGCTCCAGCTCTGCGCGTAATCGGTTTACCTCTTCCGTCAGCTTCGCCTGGCCCTGGTTCTGGCCGGCGGCCACGGCTGTCGCCTGCTGTTGCAGTTGAACTGTGACCTGCTGCAGTTGGGTCAGTTGCGCCTTCAGGGCGCTGTTCTCCTCCGTCAGCTTGCTCACATCAGCTGCAGTGGCTGCTGTTGCAGGGGCAGCAGGAACTGGAGCAGCAGAGGCTGGTGCTGCTGGGCCCTGTGGTGGCCCTGGTTGCTGCTGTTTGTTAGGTGCTGCTGCTTGCTGGGCCTGATTTGCTTGCGGTTGATTTGGCTGGTTCGGTTGATTTGCTTGCTGTTGCTGCTGTTGCTGCTGCTGTTGCTGCAGCTGCTGATTCTGCTGCTGTGTCTCCGTCAGCTGGCTTTGCAGCTTGTTGATGGCCTGCAGCGAGAGCTCCAGCTTCGCTCGCAGCTCCTTATTTTCCGCCTCCGCCGCCTTGATCTGCTTGTCGAACTTGATCAGCTCGGCGCTCAGTTTGGCCACCCGCTGCTCATTGGCCGCCGCCGACTGGGCGTCCGCGCGGTTGGACTGCGCCAGCGCCGCCGACTGCTCCTGCTGCGCCTTCACTACCTTCTCGTACACCTGCGACAGCTCCTCCAGCTCGTAGCGGAGGCGGTCGCGTTCGTCATTTCGCTTCTTCATCTCCTGGTCGGCCAGCTCAATCTTTTTCGCCAGCGACTTGATTTCCTCCGTCAGTTGGCTGATTCGCGCCTGTTGCTGCTCAATCGTCTTCTGNCTTTGCCAGCGACTTGATCTCCTCCGTCAGTTGGCTGATGCGCGCCTGTTGCTGCTCAATCGTCTTCTGCTGTTGTTGCTGGTTAGGGCCTGCAGCGGTGGCAGCCGGAACTGGAACAGGAGCAACCGCAACTGCCGCGGCATTTGGAGCATTTGCGCTGGCATTCGCTGCAGCGGCCGCCGTCGCAGCCGCTGCAGCCTTGTTCGCCGCCGACACCTGCTTGTCCCGCTCCTGAACGGTACTTTGCAGCTTCTCAACGAAGCTCTGCAGCTCCATGCTTTCCTGTTTGAGGCTTTCAATCTCCATTTGCATGCGCTGGTTCTCCGAGTGCGTCTTCTGCAGCTCCGTCTCCGCCTTGCTGAGGTGCTGCTTCAGCTTGGCAATCTCGGCAGTGTACTTCTGGGCGAGGGCGGCGGCGTTCTGCTCGGCCTGGGCGACGGCTGCCGCCGCCGCTGCTGCACTGGCAGCACTGGCAGCATTGGCATTGGCAGAAGCAGGCACAGCAGCAGCATTTGGTGCAGCTTGTGCCGAATCACCACCAGCCCCGCCTGCCTTGATGCGCATCGTCAGCTGCTTCACCTCCACCGCCAGCTGGTCCCGCTCCTTGGTGACCTTCTGCAACTCTACGGTGTTTCGCTCCATCTTGTCGCGAATCTTCTCAAACTCAATCATCGCCTTCTCAATCTCCGCCTTCTGCTTCTCCTCAGAGGTTCGGTTGCGCTCCAGTCGCATGCGGCTGGCGTCCAGCTCCCGCTTCAGCGACTCCACATCGAGCTCCTGCTGCTGGCGGCACTCCTGCAGGCGGCCCAGCTCGGTGCGGGCGTTTTCATAGCGTTCTCGGGTCTTCTCCAGCTCCACGTACAGCGTCTTGATCTCATGCGCCTGCGTTTCCAGCTGGGCGGAGGAGAGGCGCTCCAAGCGGCTCCGCTCCAGCTCCGCCTGCAGCCGCTGGGCGTCCTTGTAGTAGCGGTCCTTCTCCACCGACAGCCGTTCCAGCTCCAGCTTCGCCTTCTCATAGCGGTCTTTCACCTTCTCAAAGTCAATGCGGCACCGCTCAAAGTCCAGCTGCGTCTTGTCCGCCGCCCCCTGGTACTTGATCACCTGCGACTGGACGCGCTCCAGCTCCGCCTGCAACGTCTCTTTCTCCATGATGACCCGTTCCTTCTCCGTCTGCGTCTTGCGGAGCTCCGCCAGCGACTTTTCCGACTTCTCGTACATCTTCTCCAGCTCAATGTGCAGCCGCTGCATCTCCTCCTGCGTCTTCTCGTGCGTCGACATCGAGCTGGCCCGCTGCGAGTGAATGCGCTCCAGCTCGTGGGCAATTCGGTCGCAGTCGGTCTGGTACTTGTCCTTCTCCATCTGCAGGCGGCGAATGTCGCTCTGCGCCTTCTCGTACCGCTCCCGCAGCACCTCCACGTCCATCAGCGATTTCTCCAGCTCGGTGCGCATCTTCTCCTCGGAGTCCTTGCACTTGATGAACTTGGAGTTGGTCCGTGCGTAGATGTCCTGCAGCCCTTCAAACTCGTCCTGCGCCCGCTTCTGGTCCTCCTTCGCCTTGCTGGCGATGTTCTGCGCCTTCTCCAGCTCAATCTGCAGCCGTTCCGTCTCCGTCTGGTGTGAGTCCATCTTTGCCTGCACCTTCATGAAGTCCGCCTGCATGCGGTCGATCTTCTCCATCAGCACCTCATTCTCCACGCGGAGCATCTCCTTGTCCTCGTTCAGCTTCGCCGCCTGGTGGGCGGTTTTTTCCATCTTTTCGCGAATGGCGCGCACCTCGCCGTCTCGTGACTCAAACTCGTGCTTCATTTTCTCAATCGTTTTCTGCGCCTTGTCGTAGCGCTCTCGCAGGACGTCGACGTCTGCGTGCAAGTTCTCCTTCTCCTTGTGCATCTTGTTCATTGCCACCTGTTGCGCTTCTAGTCGCTCCTTCTGGTTGGCCACCTCCTGCAGGACGTTTTCCTTCTCCTTTTGAATTGCCCGGGCCTGGGAGGCGCCTCGCTCAATACGTTCCTTCGCCTTCTCCACCTCCATCATCGCCGCCTCGCGCTCCGCCTGCGCACGCGCCACCTGTCCCTGGGCTGCGTTCAGCTGTCCGTTCAGCGCCTCAATCTCCGCCAGGTAGCGCTCCTTCTCCGGCGCCAGTTTGCGCCACTCCGCCTGCAGCTTCTCGTATTTCTCATGGAGGTGGTCAAAGTCCACCTGGACCTTGTCCAGGGCAATTTGCGTCTTCTCATTGGTCATCTGCAGCTTAACCAGCTGCGAGTGCATTCGCTCGCTGTCCTGCTTTGTCTTCTCCACGTCGGCGAGGGCGCTTTCCTTCTCCAGCTGCGCCCGGGTCACCGTCGACTGCACCCGCTCATACTCCTCCTGCAAATTTTCCCGTTCAGTGAGGGCATTCTCCAGCTTCGCCTTCAGGCGGTAGATCTCCCCTTGCGAGCGTTCCAGTTTCTCCTGCAACGCCTCCTGCTCTGCCCTTGCCCGGTCCTGGTCCGCCTGGTTCATGCGCATCTCCGCCTGCGCCCGCCGGAGCTCCTGCTGGCACTTCTCCAGCTTCTCATTCAGCCGGTCAATTTCCTCCTGCGACTTGATGGAGGCGCTGCTGAAGTAGCCACTGGTCTTGGAACCGGCGCCCAGCTCGCGCTCCCGGTCCCACTCGCCGCCGCCCCCGCGGTCCCGCTCCCAGGGCTCACGAGGGCCAACTGTTCCGCCGTGTTCGCCTTTGCTTCGGTCCAGCTGCTCCCTCAGGCGGTCATTCTCCAGGATGTAGCGGGCGTTGTCGCTCTTCAGGCGCTCCAGCTCGGTGGGCACGCGCCACGAGTCGGTCTGCAGCTTGTCCAGCTCCGCCTTGTTCTTGCCCAGCTCCGACTGCGAGTTCTCCAGCTTCATCTCCAGGCGGTCCTTCTCCGCGGCCACCTTGTCAAGGCGAATCTAAAAGGTAGTGGGGAAATGAAAGCAAA